CTGTACAACGCGTACCACACTATCCTATGAGTAGTGCTTCACAAGTGTGTCTCAGTGTGCTATCATCAGCATTATATAATTTTTCTCTTGGTCGTTCACTCCACTTGTTGTGGTTCATTATGTTCAACAGGTCAGAATATCTACGAGATGACAATAATATCTATAATAATATATATACTGTGAGTCATTATTATTTGGTTGATAGCGGTAATGCACTCGCGTCTTGTTGTATTCGGTACTCTTCAGCTGGTTATGCACACATCCCAGGGAGTTATCGAGTTCTCAACTCTAATAACACTGAGCTATCCACAAGTCAGTATCGAAGTGCCCATACAGGGTGATGACATGTCAATAGAGATCACTCAAATTAGTCGAAGTTCAAAATAATTTCAATAAATAGTAGTTATTGTAACGATCTCAAGACATCAACCAAGGATGAAATACTGTCGCCATTGTACTCTGTGATACACTTAATCAGTAAGTTATTGCAGTTGCTCCAAGTTCATAAGGGCGTTTCTTGTTATTGTGGTTAAGAATACGTTTTACTGGTCATTTCTTAACTAAGACAAATGTGTATATGCACAAAATATGTTTTTCTGTTTGTTTTTTTTTTGTTTATTTTCGACAAAATCTGCCACTGATATCATTTCAATGTAAACAATATCTAAATGATTAGTCAATTTTGTTTCTTTTCTTTTCGATAATGCCTTAAGCATTCTGTACATGCAAGGCTTTTTTCCTCTCCATTCTGTTTCAATCAACTGTATAATTATATTATACGTACAATAAATAAATAAATAAATAATGTGAGATGAGGATTGCTGCGTAAACAACGTGTTTCCAAAATTGCGTTAATATATATATATATATATATATATATATATATATATATTCTATAGGTGTTTGTTCAATTCAAGCCTCTCGTCCGTATTTGTTGTAATCCCTTGGCTCTCCTGTAGAAGATTTTTCTTTTTCCACATTATTCATTCATATATAAGGCAGTTTAGTTGTGATTGGCATGCTTACTCTATTGATTATTTCCCTTCTAATCAGGATAAAAGCATTGGGAGATTGTCTAGAAAACAAATATTTCTAGTGATAACATCTCTTTGAGACATAAGCATTAAATTTCACACCATTGGTCAGTATGCTCCTGTTTCCACCCCAAATTTATATATATATATATATAGTCTGAAACCGATTCCAAACGTAACTGGAATTTAACAAATGTAGACGTTTGAATGCTTTTCGTTTTTATTGTTCACTGAAGGTTGGGAACCAGTTTTATGTTGTTTAGTCTTACATCAACTTGTGAAGATGTTAAGGTACTTGGGAGTTGGCTTCTAGAATCCAATCCTTATCTTCTAGTCATTATATGTTTTTGATCACCATACATGTGGAATAAACGTATCAGATTAATTCCCACATGGTATTCCTTATGGAATGGTGTTAAATACTGCCTAGCATAGAATGGTTTCGTGTTTTATATAAAGTTTCACAGTTTTCGATGATATCGCACCTTGAAATAGACTTTGTGATGAGTTTAGACTACTCCTCCGGAGATGGCAGTAAAGAGTTGGTGGACGAGAATGGAATGATTATATCTTTAGCAACATGAATACTTCACATTGAAATTGTTTATTTCCTTAAAGGCAATGCTGATTGGCATTTATTTTCATTAAATAGGAATAAATATGAACGACAATTAGTAATTAACTCCACGAAAGCTTTGGAAGCTTAATATTGTCATTAATAATTTCATATGTTGAGCGTCGGTGGCATAGTGGTTAGGACGCTCTCCGATCAGGCACATGGTCTGGGGTTCGACCCCCCGTCGACGAACTCCTTTACCTCGACAAGCCAGAAATAATGCTGGTAAAGAGGAAAGGTTGGGCATGAGGCTGACAACCCCATCCTGCAAAAATAAACTCTTCTACAGAAGCTTCAAGCCTCTAGCTTGAAGCCCTATGTTCCACTGGGAATGTGAAGGAATTAAAAAAAATTACTGTTCCTCTTCTTTCAGAGTTCACTGTTTATATCAGATGCCGTGTTGTATCATTAGTTATATTTGTTTTGCTTCTGTAGAGAAATGCTGTTTTGTGTGTAAAATGATGACAATGATGATGGTGATAACACCCTGGGTAATATTCCAAAATTATTCAGCATATGTGTGTGCCTACACTGAGAAAAAAACACAAACTCTATTACACATTACATAGACTGGTACAAATAAGTGTTTCTTTTACTTGACTATTAAATTTTTCTATTCAACAAATGTATTTAATTTCACTTGTTTGTTATGTGTAACTCATTCAACTAAATCAGTCATTCTTATCTTTTTTTTATGTAATAATTTCCCTCCTCTGGGAAAAAGTGACTCACTCAATCATCTTTCAACAAAATTGTTTCTTTTTTTTGGTGCATTTTCTGTTAGTCTGCATGAAATTCGAGTGACAAACAGGATCACTTTTTTTACCTTACCTATTGTTGGAATTTTATTTTTGTCTCTCCTTCAACGTCGCACATTGGCATATGCTTTCATCTTCTAGTTTATGCATGTCTGTAGAATTATGTATGCAAACAAATTTTCTCGTTTTGTTTTTTTCTTTTCTTCTCCCCATTTTTTGTGAGAAGGAAACTGAAAAAAACTATTATCCAGCTTTATTGTTTGAAATTTGTTCAAAAATAAATTTATTCGTATACATGTATCGGACGAAGAGCGCGCGCTCGCTCTCTCGCAACAGAGAGAGAGAGAACAAGCTATAAATAACACATGAATATATATACGAAATTATTTCGACCTGGCTACTGGTTAACGTGTAGCGTTCAACCGTTTATATTAGCTAGTGTTAGATATACCATCATCATAATCTTTTCAAAGGTTCAGTGCTTTCCTAATTTTAGTTCATATTAGTTTCCATTATGAATAGGATTTTATTTTGATAAGTCATACAATGATACACAGGAATATTAATTGATGACGTTTCGAACAAAGATTATTGCTCATAATCATATCAAGTTACTCATACAACTTTTTCCTTCCTTTATATACATGTGTGGAATCGATTAGATATTTAAATAAAAATCAATATAGGGTAATGTGCATTCAGAAATAATAATAATTTTGATTTGACACTAGTAACTAGTGTGATGTGTCTAGTCCTTTCTTTGGTGCAGACTGAATTCTATCAGTCAGGTTGTAATGTGGCCACTATTCTAGGTAGCCCGCCATCACGTTGCACGTTGATTTGATGATATTAGATGGTTGGAGGCAGTTGGCAGGAAGCCTTAGACCTAGGTTTCGTGCTTGTTTGCACTCACCAGTCAGAAAGGCGTATCTGAAACCTTGAAGGAACAAGTCATGTCCCTTCTGAGATTCGAACCCATCTAATATCATGAAATCAACATGTACAGTGATGGCGAGCTACCTTGAATGGTGGCCACATTACAACCTGACTGATAGAATTCAGTCTGCACCAAAGAAGGGACTAGACACATCACACTAGTTACTAGTGTCAAATCAAAATATCCACTACAGTTCTACAGGAGGTCAATCGCGAGCTGGAATAGCTCAGTGGTAACGTCTCTGACTGTAGTTGGCACTGGGTGACGCGGGTTCGATTCTCAGAAGGGACATGAGTTTCTTCAAAGTCGCAGATACGCCTTTCTGACTGACTGGCGAGTGCCAACTGGCACGAGACCTAGGTCCAAGGTTCCCTATGGCCGATTGCCTCCAATCATCTAATATAATAATAGTTTTATTAGATATGTCACTAAGTGATGCAGTATTATTCACTAGCTGATGTCTTGAACTCAATTTCTTTTTCTTATAATCGTATCAATTGTAACTACATAACTTAAAAACTACATATTTACGGCCCTCGTTTTTTCTATCCTACTGTCAAATGGGTAGTAGAATTCGAAGTTGTTTAATTATAATTGATATGATTATGAACAATAAAATTGCGTTCGAAACATTATTGCGTCAATTAATTAGACACAGTTTCATTGTGTGTGATATATAGAGTCCATTAAATAAATTAATATAGAATTACATACTAACACCAGTATCCAAGTGCTACACGCATTTATAAGTTTCATTAATTATTCCACTTGTCATATCAAATTTATGTGTCGTGTGTTTTTGGCATATCTCTTTTATTCATCCACTATACCATACGCTTTAAGTTATGACAGTATGAATTAGGCACTTCCTGTTCAGACAAGGGGTTTACAACCTTATAATTACTCAAGAAAAATGAACCAGATCAATTCATTCATTCAGATAGACATATAGAGAGACAGACATCACGAGAATATACTAAACAATGTTTATTTCTGTCTTTCGCTGTCTCATTCAGCTAACTAGTTACCTTGTTGTTGTTGTTGTTGTTGTTTTCGTCCTGTGTGTGTATTTTATTTCTACTACTAATGCATACTACTATTATGCTGCCATATCTGTTAGCAGCAGAGTTGTGTACAACATTACACAAATTCAAATGTGATCAAAATTTTACACAAAAGAGAATAAAAGCTCTATGCAACCTAATTAAGAGAAACAGGAAAAGAGACAGAAATAAGAAGGAAGGAAAGGGATTGGAAAAACAAAAAGGAAGGACACTTTGCATCCTTTTTTCAAATGCAGTAGTTAATTAATTTTACAACTCCTGTGCAGAGGTGTTGTGTTTTGTATTATTGTCTACTGTGCTTTTGTTTATGCCTGCAAAATGACTTCGGTTTAACTTAACTCCGATCGATTGTTAATTGTTTAAAAAGTTTTATAAGTAAGTTCGTCATATTTGTCAACGATAAGATTGTAGAATGTACGACTGTACATCTAAATTGTTTCACATAATACAAGGGTCAATGTTATCTCTTGAACTGCAGTTACCAATTAACGAATATTGTTAGAAGTTCTTTTCTACATTACTCGTTTTTCACCTACTTTCTCTATTCAGTATTCAATATTAATAAAGATATTTCTATTACATTTCATTCAGGTCTCTTCGATCCCACCTCTCCTCCGTATATTCTTGAAGCAAATAAACCTGTAAATATTATCCTTGAACCAATGAAATCATGGTCAGGCCAATGGCATATGCCCACAGCACGATATATACGTTATAACATTACAGTATCGTCATTCGCTTCATCTATCGGTGTTTTCATGCGGCATAATACTATGCCTACTATAGTACACTATGATATATTCGACAGGATCACAGGGCATAATTTACTGGCGAATTCTGGCCGACAACAATTAGGTAGTCGTACGAAGCGATCTGCACCGTCAAACAGAATAACAAAGTCTCTACTACAAGTCGGTTCAAACGTGAGTTTCACATATACCTTTCCTTTATCGTTATTGATTATTCGAAATCATAACTATTCCTTTACAGAGAAATCCAATCATGCAAGGATGTATGAACTGCTTATCATAGTACAAAGTCTCGAAATGAAAATTGTTCTTTGTCTACCATAGGTTTTCCTCTATTTCTTTCATCTACTTCCATGTGAGCTTTTCAGTGTGTGTATTCTAAAGTTCGATAGCGGTAATTCAATCAGCTAATCAGTTGTTCTATTGTCTAGTGCTAGGGTTCTTTATTGATACTACAAAAAGATGCCCAAACTATCCTCTCCCTTGTGTTACATGCTACTACTGGGTTAAGTACTGTTTAGAAGACTGTCTGAGTCAGACTTGAATGTGTAATTACAGTTCAGATGGCTGAAATGAAAGTCGCTCGTTCGAAAACCTCCTGCTACCTGGATTTTTATTACCCTCCAATCATCGTCATCATCCACTATTCACTTTAAGTGTGGCAATACTTTTCTTGGAAATCATCTAGGTGACGTGAGTGTACAGCGGTACTGAGAAGCATAAGAAAGAAAAAAACATGAATAAAAATGTCATTGCCGATTCCAGTGCTAGTCAGAGATGATTGTCATTCATTACAACACAGATTCACACCATTTGTATGGAAAGCGTGTAAAGCCTTGAAACAATATTAAAGCAATATGTTTCTGGAGCAGAATTATTACCTTAAGGCTAACCAATCATAAAAAGCTGAATCCCTTCTGAATCGGATTACGAGGAACAACATTTCGTGTGTGTGTGTGTGTGTGTGTGTGCATAGATCCTTCTATGTAATCAAACAGACAACTTGCCTACAGTGTACATATATCAAACCAACTAGCATAAAATTATCAATCTTTACGCATACCCAGCCTCTCCTAGTTAATATAAGTTCTTGAAGGACATAATAAAGCTGTTGATATGATATTATTATTATTATTATTATTATTATAAACTAACTCTCCATAAAAGAAACTAGGTGAGTAGTAGTAGACTAGTTTCTACTGGTATATCAAGTGCGTCGGTGGCACAGTGGTTAGGACTCTCGCCGACCATGCACATGGTCTGAGGTTCGATCCCCTGCCGCCGCACACCTGATATCTATAGTCGGTCTGCGAAATTTGGGCTATGGATATCCATGCTGAAAATTCCATACTCTTACCAAAAATACAGTGTGTAATCAAGCTGTAAATCAAAAAAGTAGACTCCTTGGAGTTCGGAAAATTGAACGAATCGAATCCGAAGTGAAAACTGAAGGGCAGTCACGTTATATGGTGAGTTAAACACTATACACACGATTGGATTCTAAGCCAGTAGATGAACAGACAAAGAAATACTACCCGGCTCGGAAATGATAAATTGAAACGAATCAATCGACGAGACTGTAAAGTTACATAGATTGAGATGGCTGGGTCACGTGCTGCGCATGCCTAACCATCGCCTCCACCGACGGGCATTACTAGCTGATATAGGTGCAGGTTGGAAAAGAGTAAGTGGTGGCCAAACAAAACATGGCATCCTTGACAGTTAAACTGAATCAGGTAGGTAGGGAGATGCAGACTTCCGGGTTGGGGCCCTCGGGACTCTAGGAATCAATGGCTGGAGACAATAGGTGACATGGCTCAAAATCGTTGTCAATGGCGCAGATGTATTCAGTCTCTGTAATCTTTCATATTCCTTTTTACCATTACCCATTCTGTTTCACTCTTATACTCGTCAAACTGTATTGATTTTCTTCACTCATCTTCCTGTCTACCTCTGTGTGCTGTTTGGAACGTGGCAACTGGAACTGCTGCACTTCGGTGGCAAGTTCTATGTTGAATCCAGACAGACAGACAGATAAATTGAAACGCCCTTTATAATCACGACGACTCAGTACCGGAGAGTCACATAAATTGAGGAAATAGCCCCTTGAACTAATCGATCGTTGGTTTATTCTCTGTCACTCTTTGTTGAAACTGTAACTTCGGTCGGTTTAACGGGTTTTTTCAAGGCACTATGCTTCAAAGAGGCGAATAAATCCAGACAGACAGCTGCACGATATAGAGCTTCTTATTTTAACTAAATGAATGACGAGGAATTCTTTTCTGTCCCTTTAAAAAACACAACTGATAAATTATTCAGGATAGAACAAGTGAGATTAATGAATAAGTATAATTAACAGTTTTTTTATTAATTCTATTATTAACTACTTTAATGGCGTCTACTTTGTTAAGATTACTTACTTCATGAAGGCTGTTAAGGTCAACTCTTGAAGTTATATACAGAGTGACCTTTGTTTTGAGTATCAAATTTTGAGTGCACGAAATGAGAAGAGGTGGGGGTGGAGTGGGTGGGAAAGGAAGTAGGGTTTAGCAGTATTTGATGCTTCCTTGAATAAAATATTAAATGACCACTTTTCTTGTTATGCTAATGTCAAGTGACTAGGATACAAACTTGAAGACGATAAGTATGTTTGCCTATGACAATAACCAATAACAATAACTGGCAGTTTATCCAACTTCAGTGGGAATGTATCCCTTCTGTTTGTGAATTACAAGGATATACTGTACAACAACTGACACTGCTGCTCACTGTGTTCTACTGATTTACCTTAGAAATAGCTTTTAAGGAGAAGCAGAATGTAAGTAGTATACATATTGATATAAAACCAAGTATTGGTTTTTTGTAGGGATTTTATTTGACTGCATGGAGAATTTCATCATGAGCTAACTAACATCAGTTGGAGAACCATTGGAAAACCAACTGGGAGTACTGGACAGCTGTTCATATCGTCTTAGTTTGCAACTCTTCAGCAGCGCGCACCTATCGGGATTTAACGAAGTGCCTCTCCGTAGGTTAGGAAAGGCGACTGCGCAGGAAACCCTCATTCAAAGGATGACAGTCTCTGCCTAAGGCCCGGGAAATTCTCTCCGAGACGATGAGTGACTGCAATGCTGCACTGCACTCTTGCACACCAGGGCTCCGATGTAACCTCCAGGTCGCGAACCCTGGTGGGTACGTGCTGATGAAGAGTCCCAAACTAGGATGAAACAAATATCAAAACCATTGGTAACTTTCATGTATTGCCACTGGTGAATAACTGATCTGTCAAGTGAATTGTAGGTAGTATTCAACTCAATGATGCATGATTGGTGTGCATCTCTGTAGATGAACTGTATAATAGACAGACTGAAATAAAGTTCATCTAAATGATCTAGTCATATTTTAGAGTCAGAGCTAATATTTATGACAATATATTTCTATATTAATAACAATAACAACTGATTAGTGCTGACAAAATTAGCCTGTACCTCAGTGAGGCAAGGCTGTCTACTATCACCAATGATCTTCCTGATTGCAATTGATTGGATAATGCGACAGACAACGGCAACCAACGAGGGAACAGGCATAAAATGGACTGACACAAAAGACTTGGAGGATCTGGATTTCGCCGATGATATATGTCTGATTTCCCATAAACTGGAAGATATACAAGTGAAAAGTAACAAGTTGGCAGAAGAAGCATCAAAGATAGGACTTCAAGTGAACATAGATAAAACAGAGGTGATGAAGATTCCTGGCCAATACCAACAACACCAACAGACCACAATAAGCATAAATGGGAAGAACCTGAAAGAAACAACCTCCTTCACCTACCTGGGAAGCATCGTCTCAACTACAGGCGGAACTGACGAGGACATCAAAGCCAGAATCGGAAAAGCAAGACAAGCTTTCATTACTCTCAAATCTGTGTGGAGGTCAACAGCAATCAGCATCAAAAATAAGATCCGGATTTTCAACTCCAATGTGAAGTCAGTGCTACTATACGGATCAGAGACTTGGCGAGTCATAAAGAGCATCTCAAACAAACTTCAAACCTTCATTAACAACTGTCTCCGCTCAATACTCAAGATCAGATGGCCAGAAAAGATCAGCAACAGGGATCTCTGGGAGCGAACCAATCAGGAACCGATTGTGAAACAAATAGGCAGAAAGAAATGGAGATGGATTGGCCATACGCTGAGGAAACCATCAAGTGACATCACTAGACAAGCCCTCGAGTGGAACCCGAAAGGGAGGCGGCGAGTTGGTCGTCCAAGGGTGACTTGGAGGAGGTCATGTGAAGAGGAGATGAAAGCATGTGGACAGACCTGGAGCAGGGTGAAAAAGTTGTCAAAAAACAGAAGTCAATGGAGGTGCGCAGCTGAAGCCCTATGTTCCTCTAGGAACTGAAGGATACAATAATAATAATAATCAGTAACATGTTAACTTAGGCCAAAGTTAGGGATCAGGGAAACAAGACAGTACGGAAAACTACACTAAAAACTACTCTTCCAAAAAAAGGCTTTGTGATTCTATCAAACCATAGAAACTGTCCGACAGTGAAATGTTAGTCACACTCAAGATATAGAAAGGCGCAAAGTTAATTGTCTAAGCTAGTGATTTACATCTCCACAGTCGGTTTGGACTATATACGGGGTCAGAGAACAAGAAACAACATCCACATATTAAGATGTTTTGTAGGATTAGTTTACTTGACGTTAGTATTTTCATCAGATGTTTTGTCCTGCTTGCTAATAAGTAGCACTATTAGTTCTCCTTTTTTAGATCAATTGACCATAGTCAAGTTGAAATTTTGCGTTCACACGACTATATAGATTTTCTTAAGTATTGTGAAGAAGAAAACCACTGGATACCGAATTAAATAGGTGAATTTTAAAATACTGCGGGCACACTTGTAAATTAGTCTCTTGAATGAATGAATGCAGAAACAGGTTTTGGTTTCCGAAAATGCACTCTGGAAAAGTCTTAAACAAGTAATACAAAAGAAAAACAGTACCTTATACACAACTTACCATTTACTCATCATCTCCTAAATTGAAATTGGGTTGTTTACAATAGAATCTTGAGCTCCAAACAACAACTACCTCTTGAAATGTGACTTTGAGATCACGAGGAGATTGTTTGACTGTGTATTGAAAGTCGTTGATTGTATCAATACTAAGAGATTTCTGATTCGCATATTTTTTCCTGTTAATATTTGTGTCAGTTGAACGCCTTCCTTGTGTAACATTTCGCATTGGTGCATATAAAGATGTAGAGGTAAGACAGACTGGATGCTTGCTGTATTGAGAGTTGAGCATCTTATTACTTATTGAACTGACTATCACATTGTAGTGTTAAAAATCCTTTCGAAAGCGTTGTGATAAAATCTCACTAATAATATCCCCTCTGAATCTCAGTCTTAGGAACACTAATATTTTGGGAGTTATGGGCACCCTCATCTGTTTACTTGCTAAGTTCATGTATTTATTCAAAAGTGTTGTCGGATATCCTTTCCTTCAGTGTTTCATTTGAACAAGTCGGCTCTAGCCCGGTTTAAACAAACATCTAACCAAATTACGAAATTCAGAGAGTTAGTATGTCGGCCAGTTGATATAGAGCAAAATGACTCTGTCTTGCTTTTGGATGTCCTAATAACTAACCGAGCAGACGGATCAATATGCATATTATGAGGAACTAATTGAAAAAGGAATATATTCTTTCACTCACTTAGTTGTTTTTTTCTAAATATGTAAATGGGAATTGTCATATTTTGTTTTCGCTAATTGTGGCTGTAATGTATACTACTAACAGGGATTTATAAGTAGTTTGTTTCCTGTTTTGTCTTGATTAGTGTAGTGACGGTTTAATTTCAGCGACTTTTTCCGTCGCTATTGCATCTTATAAAATCTTGCCAGTGGTACACGTCACATTATTGATTTTTCAATTTCTTTTTATGTCAGTAATATTGTATCCAGCTTTCTTACTTGTACTTGGTTTACGCAATTGTAACCAACTATTGTTACACACTTTGGTTGAATTAAGAACAAGGCGACTTAGGCCTCTGCAAGAACTACTGGCATGGAATAGTGCTCTTGTCCACTCCGAATAAAATATTAAGTTGCAGTATCCTGGAGAGAATGAATGAACCCACCGGAACAAGCTGACTGGATTCTCTTAAGGCAAATCATGCTCTGACCAAATTGCAGTTCTACGGATCATCAGTAGTGAACAAAGCATGGAATGGTAGTCAAACGTCTACCTCAACCTCATGGACTTTGAAAAGCGTCGACCGAGAAGTTATTTGGAAACTACTTCAACACTACGGCGTCTTTATCAACCACATTCAATAACTATGTGACAATGTAACTTGTCAGGTGATCCACAGTAGGAAACTCAGGGAGGCGTTCGAAGTGCATACAGGAGTAAGATAAGGCTGTCTATTATCATCGATGATATTCTTAATTGTGCTGGACTGGATTATGCTTCAGACTGTGAGGAGCGAAGAGGCAGGAGTACACTGGACCACCGATAAGAAAACTCTAGCAGATTTGGATTTAGAAGATGATATATGTTTAATATCACATAAATTTTTGAAGACCTACAGATGAAAACCAACAAACTGGGTGAAGAAGCAGCAAAGACAGGGCTCTAGGGGAACATAGAGAAGACGGAGGTGATGAAGAAAACCAACCAATCACCATCAACAGGAGAGATTTAACGGAAGTTACTTGTTGTAGTTACCTAGAAAGCATCTTTTCAACCATAGGCAGTCGGAATGGATGAAGATGTCAAAGCCAGTCAGGATTGCGAAGGTAAGATACGCCTTCATCAACCTGAATCCAGTTTGGAAATCGTCTTCGCTAACTCAGCCAGCACAAAGAACAAGATTAGGATTCTCAACACAAATGTGAAGTCAGTGAGTTATTTTCTATAGGTCAGAAACTTGGCGTGTCACGAAAAGGATGTCCAACAAGTTACAGACTTTTATCAACAGCTGCCACACCGTCGCTAACTGGCTCCATACCAAAGATCAAATGACCAGCTGGCCAGGAAGAATCAGCAACAAGAAACTCTGGCAACAAACCATCCAATAGCCGACCACTGAACAAATATATCCAAAGAAATGGAGATGGATCGGGCATATGTTGAGGAGGCCTCCGAATGACATCGTGTGCAATGCAGGCTATCGCTCGAGTTGAATCCCAATGGGGAGCGACGACTGGGTTGTCAGTGCGAGAGTAACATGCAGGAGACTGTGTTAGGACGGGACTAGAGATTATGGGCAATCGTTGGACCCAGCTGAAGAGGATGGTAGAAAGTAGGAGAAGGTGGAGATTTGTTGTTGAAGCCCTATGTTCCACTCGGAACCCAAGGGAATAATAATATTATTATAATAAATTAAGAAAAAGGGTATTTTAAAAAAGGGAAATTATTTCACCTGATGTTTCTTTTATTTCTGCTCAATTATAATTAACACATTGAACAAATTTAAACTATTTTGGGGGATATTTTCCCCCTTTGAATTAGTTCTGCTCTATTAATTTTACTTCTCATCTTTTACCAAGGAGGAAACACGTGAAACTGGACGTTTGCATTATTTAGATGAAGGTATCTGGTTTCTGGCCTTAGTTAACGATCAGCCTAGACGTGAACCAATCACTTTCTCTATCGGAGATGCAGGTAACTATTATCTTTACTGTTCATTATTCGTTTTTTTTTTTAAAAAAAAGTGTGTTTGACTTTTTTCTACTTTATTTGTAACCCTAATCATTTCGCATTTTGCCTTATAACTTTTAATTTGTATCCTCATCACTTTGTGTGTGTAATGATTTATTTGTCTTGTATAAAAGACTATTTTCGGTGTATAAATTTGTGTGCATACATATGTAAAAATAATATGTGATAGTGATATAAATCGCGGTGAAACTGACGTTACAATGCATCTTTAGTTTCAGTCGACAAACTGGTCCTAGCAGCTATTTCTGAACAGTGCTTGTAGCAGAGAAAAACCAATTATTATTATGATTATATTTCAACAAGATCAACCCATTGCCATCAGGGAATATATAGGCTGGTTTATGGACCTCGATTGAACTTTAGCTAAATGATGGTGCTTACTGCATTAATTAATTAATGATGCCTGGGTTGGATATATGATTCAGCATCGAGTTACACTAATTGTGAAGAGTAATAAACTTCTATTTTATATGAATAAAACTACACTTAGTATTCTTTTCTGCTTACTTGCGTTTAATCATCTAAATCCACCTCAAAAATGGAAATCAACAAAGCATCACACACTAATTCAGAATCACAGTTGTGAATACAAGGACAAGAGTCTATGGAGTACTTACTGATAATCACTATTCTTCACACTGAGGTTAGCGTTGTGAAACTGATGCCTAGAGGGACAATTAAACTATCCAGCTCAGAGAATACAACATGCTCCTTTAAGTTAAATACATCTGACGGATTTAACTATTAAGCGAAGTCATTTGAAAATTATTATTACCATAAATTTTTTATGGTCTGATTATTCACTCTGTGATTAGTATTGTGATTACTACTACTTGAGGGTGCGTTCCGATGACGGAAAATCATAAAATTAATTCACTTTTTTGGTTCGGTTCTTAGTCGAGATTACACCAGATCAGAAGATGCCTTTCGTACACTGTACGCATAACACAAAAGCATCCGAACAAGAACGCTCAACTGGTAGGGAATAAGTTCTGACCAGCAATATTCGAGGAATATCAATAATCGAGCCAGTAAGACAGAAATTAAAATGCGTAACCTTCATTAACAGCTGTCTTCGCTCAATACTCGAGATCAGATGGCCAGAAAAGATCAGCAACAGGGAAGGTTCTCTGGGAGCGAACCAACCAGGAACCGATTGTGAAACAAATAGGCAGGAAGAAATGGAGATGGATTGGCCATACTCTGAGGAATCAAACCATCAAGTGACATCAGTAGACAAGCCATCGCTCGAGTGGAACCCGAAAGGGAAGCGGCGAGTTGGTCGTCAGTGCGAGGGTGACTTGGATGAGGTGATGTGAAGAGGAGATGAAAGCATGTGGGCAGACTTGGAGCCAGGTGAAAACTCTAGGAGAGAACCGAATGCAATGGAGACGCTCGGCTGAAGCCCTATGTTCCTCTAGAACTTAAAGGAAATAATAATAACTATTATTAGATTGTTTTTCGCAACTGTAGCCGTCATCATTGTCATATGGATAATTCAATTATGCTTCACTTAAAACTTGTTTCATTAGTCCAAACAACTTTGACTCATCAATTTCGGTTATTGCAATAATTCACTTACACAACCTATCATGAAAGCGTGCATCTGTGACTCACTAATATATATATATATCATGGGGTATGAAATAAATAATGTAGGGACAACAGACAAAATCTAATTAAACGATGATGCATCTAACACAGCCTTTTTAATCATCCGAAAGAACACAGTTAAAACATTGTTAGTCAGAGTCGACCCATATAATATTTGTTTTATGTCTAAATATCATTTTTATGTACTAAGAGAGGAAAAACGTGCTGTACATGTTATTTACATCTGGAAATTAACACATACAGGGTGCTGATTGTTCAATTTGTACCCATATGAAATTATATATATTAATGTGCATCGTGTGTGTGTGTGTTTGCACGCATTCCAATAACTCCCCTCTTTAAATTTCTATCGTGATTATTTTATTATCTTCAATGCTAATGATGCTAAAATTGTTTCAACTGTCGTAGATTAGCCAAGTTAGTTACGGGAAATTTCAAGTATATATATATGAGTACATAGAATGCAGTCTTTGTGAATTATTTCTCTCTGTTTTCCTCTATCTGTCGACTAGTTCGCATTTGAACTCTGTTAAAATGAACGACCTTCTCGTAAAGGACCTGAGTATTTCTTTTGTGTTTCTCTTGTTCACATTTGCATAATTCCTAATTTCTTTTTGTTGTGCAGACACCAACAGTTTATGGCTGTAGTATTACTAGTGTAATATTGGCTGTCTCAACCTATCACTCCCTTTCATTTTAAATCTCAAACATATTAAATAACACACATGGTCGATCAATACAAAGTATATTTAAGTGTTGGTTTTTTTTTGGAATTTGGTTGATTGTTTACAGGATTTCATCATAAGCTGACATTGGTTAGAGAACCTTTGGAAAACCAATCAATTCCCTACAAAACAACACTTGAATATCAATGAGATGCTCACTAGCGACTTGCGCTATTCAGGTAGGTAGTTACCTGGGGTTCTAGTGAGAAGCCGTGACCAGTAGGGTGCAGAAGGTCGGGTGTGAGGACCAATACTCGCAAAAGACATTGGCTAGGGGTCGCGCTATTTCGTGAATTGGCAGAAGTTAGAATTCATGGACTGGCCGTTGGATCGGGTTGGATCCCAGTGGCTTAATGGTCTACGAGCTAGCTCACCTTGTAACCAGAAGGTCCTGGGTTCGAACCCCCTTGGCGGTGGGTGCGTACTGATGAAGAGTCCCAAACTAGGACGACATGAACTGTTGTCCAGTATTTTCAGGTTTTCCAATGGCTCTCTAACCAATGTCAGCTCATGATGAAATCCTGTAAGAAAGTATATTTGCCATTCCTTTTAATGCATCTTACTCATTTAAGAAGTGACAAAAAGTATGTTGTAATGGGCATTTTTGATCAGTAAAAATAGAACCGTTTATAAAGTCAGCATGAATCCATATCTTTCTAGAAAGTGTGAGTGTGTGCATAAAAACCCCGATGATATTCTGTCAAACACTTACTCTCGGTAGGTCAATCGATTGTCTCTAGCTAAACCAGTTAAGGTAATTCACTGTTATGTTTCGTACATATTCTTACAAATGTGTTAATTGTATTGTAATTAAAGGATCTCTGTAGTCAAGTTTGATAGGTAGTGTACGAGATGGTAAACTATCAGTTATGTATGGAGGAGATATGAAGAGTACATATGTGTAACTCGTGACTGTATCATAGACTCGTTGTTTTTAAAAAAATGAGTTACACTCATATCAAATGCTTAGTATGATGAAATTAGCTATTGATTGTTTGGATGAAATTTACACCTGTCTGGTGAACAGTTCAGACTTATTGATCATTTCGTTGTTTTGAAAAGGAATGTAATGCTGAAACCGCAGGTTTATAAAGTAGTTTTCTTTGAATATGTTGGTTTAACATCTGATGTGGAGGTGTCCTTTTGGTTTACATATTGAATTTCTGTTAACAAGATGGTATTTCACCCCTGGCGTCGGTGGCACAATGGTTAGGACTCTCGCCGACCATCTACATGGTCCGGGGTTCGATCGCCTGCCGACGCACACCTGATTCTATGGTCGACCTGCAAAATTTGGGCCACCAATATCACATGCTGAAAATTTCATACTTGTACTAAAAAATACGGTGTGGAATCAAGCTGTAATAAAAAAAATAAAATATAAATTATCCATAGTTGTCCTGCGTATAATTCTGGTACCTGTTTAGTCTGCTATATCATAGTGAATTTCTATAAGAGAATAACCAAAGTATTCAGGTGTTTAGTTTTACTAAACTAAACAGAATTTTTTCAAAGGCGAGAATTAAGGTGGTTTTCCAGTGCTCCTCCGCACTGAATTTCATATTTTATAACAGACACATTTTTATTTCGTAATAAAAACAACATGAATAATTTGAACGAGGGTTATTTAAAAAAAAAAAGAAAAAGAAAATAAATTAAAAACAAAATCTACTTGGGTGGTCAAAACTATTCACGTTTTTGTTTTTTCGAACATGTACATAGAACACTGGCTAAGTCCCTACGGTCCTAGATGCATAGACTAGGTTTCAATTCAATCTGCCTAAGCATAACTACACTTACGCTTTCTGTTTATGTCGCCTAGCAGTTGAAGTGAATTTTTTATATCTGATAGACAGTAGAATATGCTACCAGACTGTGTAGTGAAGTATGATTTTGCAGAACTCTTATTCAAATATTTTGCTCGTCCAAGTTTTGATAGTCCTGTATCATCATTCCTGGGGTTGAAATTCACCTTACCGGTGTCAAGAAATGCTTACGTAGTTTGATATGAAGATAGTTCTCGCAAATCGAAGAGAACTAGAGACCTAGCAGAACTCAAAAATGTATGCGATGGCTGTCTCACTTTTTGATTTGTTTTGTCGTCACTAGTATGTACCTACGGTCCCGTGCAACATCGAGTCCACTAGCTAATACTGACAACGGGGAGTGGGTTGTAGGTGTGTCTAAACCGAAACTAAAGACTGTTCAGTGTTTCTCTGTCTTCATGTTGATGTCGGCTTACTATAAAAGCTTATTCGAAATCTAACACTTCACCGGAAGTTTCGTAGAAGGCGACGGTTTATGCGATCAATACAGGCTTAGCATATTTTTCATCTTCAGTATTTTCGAATGGTTATTAGCACGTATACTTGGCATGAAGTTGTTAGCTGGATTGTGAAATACGATTTTTGCTTGGTGTAAACAAGTCACAGTAGGGAAATATTCATAGTTCTTTGCTTGAAAATATCTCTTCCCATCTGTAATGGTATAAGTTACACTGAATTTCCTGATTGACAAAACCACTGGCCATTAATAATCAAAACGCTTGTCTTTGTTTACAAAGTGTGATGGACATCACCGATTGTCTTGCCTCTACATTAATGA